GTCTGATATTAATTAGGGTCTCATTCAGTGAAAGGGTATTGATGCGACAGGTATCTTCTTCATTACCTTAAGTATAGTTTTCTTGCGGGGAAGTGAAGCTCTGGGGGTGGGTGTAAAGCGATGCGAAATAGCTTGAGCGCTCCGTGGTTCCCTCAGGTGTGATTCACTGGGCAAAAAGCGAATTTTCCGCTTTTCGCACACGAAACTTTTTTTCGCGTCAAGGACCCCAGGTCTGCCCATGATCAGCAGTGGACCTGAGGTCCTCGCAGCTAAAAAAGTTTCGCGTTGCAAAAAGCGGAGAATTCGCTTCCTGTTCAAACCACACCCGTTCCACTCCCCCTCTCTACCCCCTGCAAAAAGTGGGATTTTTATTGGCCGCGGCAACTATCGCTTCATATCTTTCCTCACTGCATCAGGCCCTTTTTTGTTGACCTGCCCAAACCGTTGTTTTTTCCCTTTTTTTGCTCATGCTGCTCGCTCTTTCTTAATTTTGCAACTCCGCTATCTCCATTGGCGCTCAAAAACGGGACTTATTTATTTGCTCTTATTTCTGCTGCACCCAATTATGTTTTTAATCCCTGAGAAATCTTTTATAAAGAGTTTATTGAAGCGAACTGGAATAGTATTGATTCTTGGCTAACTTCCAAATTCTAATTTTCAGTGTACTGATAAGTCGTCCAACGAGAAGAAGCATATAGTACGTGGATACAACAAATGCAATTTCCACTCTGATATCTTTGATGTCGTCGAAGAAAATACGGGACCGTCCTTACAAACTGAACTGTGTCGGTGGTGGAAGGATCAAGCATGAAGACGGTGCGAAGAAAATTCTCGTCTATGGATACTCTCAGGTACTTAGCATAAATAACTGTGAATATAGTTGTTCATGCTCGAGATTTTTAGGGATACGGTCGAGCGGATCACTCGGTAACCGTAGATATTCTCAAGAAGCAATATCCCGATTACGACATTACTTTCTCCGATGAAGGTTACTGATTGCTCAAATCCTGTAGTCCTTATATCTATGGAATGTTTGACTTCGTTGAGTGGACTTGCTCGACCATGCTTTTAAGCTCTGCACTGCGTATGCTTTTTCTGAGCGGGAATTTCATTATTAAAAGTGTTATTTGTTGTCGACCTCCCTAAGTTGTGTCCTGATTTTGTTAGATTTAGCGTGCAGTTTTCACGAGTATAAGAAATTTCAATAAGCTTGTGATTCAAACTTTGATCTTTTATGCGTTGGAACTTTCAAGTCGTTGAGGCTGTGTGTAATTGTATGTCAGTGCTGCAAACGATGGTCAGTAAGCGCCACACTCAGACGGGAGCCAACAGAGGCAGCTTTCGTAGGTCGCACCGTCGTAAAATGTGGGAAAGCGTCCAAAATCGCGCGAAAGTCGCCGCTCCGCATACCTATGCGCCGAGGTTCAACTTTCGGTCTACTTATTAAAACTGGCGATGAAGCAATTTCCAACGCGTTTGAGGCGTTTCCTGAACCGTTAGAACTCAATGCAGAGACTGGCGAATAATGAGATTTATTCATGTGTACCTTTATACATATCTTAAAGGCAAAATTTACGATGAAAAAACCCATTTCAAATTAAAGGCAAAAGTCAGGCTCGTGTTTGGGCATTATGGCGCCTGAAATTGAGTGTAGAGATGGGAGGTGGAACGACAGTGAAGAAAAAACGCAAAAAAAAACCGTCGACAAGACCGAAATCGAAACCCCTTCCCTTCTAGCAGTGAAGGAGGCTTGCTCGGGGGAGAGCCACGTCCAAACGAGTTTTCCGGATATGCCAGCCGTTCCATCGGTTGATACGGCAATCAACCTTGTCGCCTCGCCTGTTCGATCAGGAGTGTGGCATCACCCTCTGAGCGCATTCCTGGAAATGTTAGTGATGGAAAGGCCTTCTATGGTCACCTAATCCTGACTCGCGGCTTTAAGTTAAGAGTGCTGAGTAGTACAAGAAAGAAGAAAAACCATGAAAAACGGCCCAGAACCCGAGAAATCGGACCCCTTTTCTGCCCATTGATTTTGGCACTGATACGACTCCTATCGCTGTGCCCTCCACAACGCAACGCTCCTTGCTGTCTAACCCTTCGCCGTATTGAGCGTGCCAATGGGTGCATTAGTGGTCGGATGGGCGCTTACGGCGCCCACTAAGCAGAGTGAGGCCATTGCTAGGTCGCCGTCTTTCGTGCCGATTGCTCTCGACACCACGACATGTCTCCTCGACTAGGCACTTTCCCCATCTTTGTACACTGCGTCCCATAATTATACGTCCACCTAAGAATTTCCCAAAATCTCAGAAATACAGATGTTTCGAAAAAAGTCTCCTATGTGACAATGTATCGCATATAAATACGCAATTGCCTATGAACATCAATTTTCTATTTGAGATCACAGGAATTTTTCCAATAATTTTTGTGTAAAAGGCCACTCAGCCGACGTCCCAAATTATACGTCCACCTAAGAATTTCCCAAAATCTCAGAAATACAGATGTTACGAAAAAAGTCTCCTATGTGACAATGTATCGCATATAAATACGCAATTGCCTATGAACATCAATTTTCTATTTGAGATCACAGGAATTTTTCCCAATAATTTTTGTGTAAAAGGCCACTCAGCCGACGTCCCATAATTATACGTCCACCTAAGAATTTCCCAAAATCTCAGAAATACAGATGTTACGAAAAAAGTCTCCTATGTGACAATGTATCGCATATAAATACGCAATTGCCTATGAACATCAATTTTCTATTTGAGATCACAGGAATTTTTCCCAATAATTTTTGTGTAAAAGGCCACTCAGCCGACGTCCCAAAATTATACGTCCACCTCACGTTTATCGATTACTTTTCACTTCTGTTCCACGAAACTTTTTCATTGTGGTAACACTTCACTTCTTAAGAGAACAGCATAATAAAGACTGCTGTTGGATTTTGAGAAAGGGAAAATGTCGCAAAAACTGATGAACAACGGAACCGCACCAGATTTGGTCCAGATTCACGCCAAGCTTGAGAATTTTTTCAGGGGTTTCACATGATATGGAGCTTAGAAGAGCTCTAAAAGTCTCTCATTACTTTTCGATGGAAACAAAGGCGGTGTTACAGAAATAACATCCATTTTCATCCAACGGTGCTCTGTCATCGAATCTTCTTGAGAACTTTATGCCTCAACAGACTTTTGTTTCATGCATGTAAAGGAATCCCAAGATCGTTCTTGATCGGAAAATGTGAAAGACGTTCATTTGTGGCAAGGAATCGTGGCGAAAACTGGGCTGATTTTTGCATGAAGGTGCAGCCGAGCCGACTGAAGTAAGGTTCGCTTCTGCCCGATATGTTTTGGCATTTGTTTGTTTCTTCTCACGTCTTACCTTTCCCTTAATGGCTTTTTTCTTAGAGGAGCACTACTAAAAGAAAGAAAATGTTGAAAAGAAAGACAGACAAACACTCATGCATAGCAAGGAAAAAAGGACCCTGCTCCAGTCGGCTCGGCTGCACCTTCATGCAAAAATCAGCCCAGTTTTCGTCACGATTCCTTGCCACAAATGAACGTCTTTCACATTTTCCGATCAAGAACGATCTTGGGATTCCTTTACATGCATGAAACAAAAGTCTGTTGAGGCATAAAGTTCTCAAGAAGATTCGATGACAGAGCACCGTTGGATGAAAATGGGATGTTATTTCTGTAACACGGCCTTTGTTTCCATCGAAAAGTAATGAGAGACTTTTAGAGCTCTTCTAAGCTCCATATCATGTGAAACCCTGAAAAAAATTCTCAAGCTTGGCGTGAATCTGGACCAAATCTGGTGCGGTTCCGTTGTTCATCAGTTTTTGCGACATTTTCCCTTTCTCAAAATCCAACAGCAGTCTTTATTATGCTGTTCTCTTAAGAAGTGAAGTGTTACCACAATGAAAAAGTTTCGTGGAACAGAAGTGAAAAGTAATCGATAAACGTGAGGTGGACGTATAATTTTGGGACGTCGGCTGAGTGGCCTTTTACACAAAAATTATTGGGAAAAATTCCTGTGATCTCAAATAGAAAATTGATGTTCATAGGCAATTGCGTATTTATATGCGATACATTGTCACATAGGAGACTTTTTTCGTAACATCTGTATTTCTGAGATTTTGGGAAATTCTTAGGTGGACGTATAATTATGGGACGCAGTGTATATTATTATGGAAAGTGGCGATCCTGTTAATAGGTAGCATGCACGAAAATTTCACAAGAATGTTCCACAAACTTAAAGCCTTTCGTGGGTAAATTGCATCCTGTAAAAATATACACAAACCACGGCCATTGTAAATGCATCAGTGCTTTCTTATCCTGTTTGCTATATGTTGCTTTAGGGTATCCTTAGGGAATACACAGGACTGTGCAAAAGTCCTGACAGCAATGCTCGTCGCCTAGAGACCGAATTGGTGTAATTCATTTATTTTAATTTTTAGAGAACATTTGAAGCTGTTCGTGTCGGCGGACGACTTTAATAATGCGCCCTAACAATTTTAAGACCGCTTCTTTTGGAGGCTCGGTCCGCGATCGATGGGTATGACATTTCGCTCAAAAATGGAACAAAAGGTGCGAAGAGGACCGCCAGAGCGGGCAAAAAGCAAAAGAAACTATGAACAACATGGGATTGGTTGCTACTTCCATTTATGGGTCGGTCGTGGCCACGAACGGAGAGACACTGCAACGAGAAAACACGAAAGGGCACGTTGAACAAGAGGGCACAGGCTGCACGTATGCTGCGAATGATAAGAATGGCCGCAATCACACCGGGTCAAGAGAAAATTAGCGGCCATCAGCGCTCTTGTGTCACACTTTCTAGTCGCGACTGTTGCGACCACTGTCTTGGGGAGTGCTTCTGCGTCATTCACGGAGAGGATTTCTCTAAGGATCTGAATTTTTTCAGGTTCTCCACGCTCTTCGTTTGAAGAGAGGTGTGTGGTCTTGTCCGGGCACCAAGCTGGAGCTGTGCCCCTCTATTACAGACACGGCAAACATGGCTCAAAGCTTTACCGGTGATGTCATAGGATTGCCAGATGTGATTAGTGAACTTTCCTCAGCTACTTCAGACTCGAAGCAACAAATGATCGCGCCTTTAATTCTTTCCGAAAAGCCTTCTAACCCGCACCAATAGCTCGCTTGACTGGCTACAAAACGTGAACGCAGTGCGATCATGGACAATATCGACGTTATCCTAACTGCGGACCGGCTCAGGTCTTGCACAATACGGGCCACAGTTAATAGAGACCTGTCCACTAGTGACTCGAGGGAAGAAATTGCACTGCTGCTTCGGACTATACATCTTGAGTCCTTCGGTGATCACAGATAGGTTAGCTTCAATGGCGGTGCGATCAATGAGCAGGGGCAACATTTCAGGAAAGGGTCGGGGTCTATCTGGCCGGGTCAAACATGGCGCTTGCGTTTTGTGATTTTGAGAGAGAGGGTCACATTTGGCACATTTGCACTTCAGACGTGGGAGAGGGAATTCACAGTTTCCAAGAAGTGAGTGGACATTTTGTGGAGAGGGGTACACTACACGCACTTTAGGGGACGGAGTTGGAAATGTGTCATATTGAAATAGTCAACGATAGTATCAAAGAACTCAACTGGTGTGTGTGGAGGGTCGCATTTCCCATGTTGAGCAGATTTCACGGTTTTTTGCAGGAAACGCTCTGTCGTGTACTTGCTTTCACGCCTTCATAACAAGCCTTCCAGCTTTTAGAGTGTCTTTCACCGAATGATTCAAATCGTCGCTTTGAGAACAGCTTTTCACAGCGACACTGGATCTTTCGTGACCAGCTTCGTATGGGTTCAAAGAGTGCCGGCGACCGTGAGAAATGCCTTCTTGTATCAAAACGGTCGCACAGGCGTGTAATTAGCCGCTTTGATCATAGCACGAAGTGTGACTCATGTTTGATGGCGCGCTTTCGGAATATTGAATTTACAGCCGATCCCATTGCGATGATGGGGCATTGCCAAGGTCAC